TAAAATGAAGAGCCGCTTATTTTTTCTCCTCTCTCTCTCTCTCTCTCTCTCTCTCTCTCTCTCTCTCTCTCTCTCTCTCTCTCACTCTCTCTCTCTTTTACACACAGACTTGCGATGTAACGTCAGCAAAGAGAGGGATATCCGACAGACGACCACCCCACTTCATCCGAGGAATGCAGGTTCGTTTTTGTGGTAGAAATGAAAGCAGGAGTTTAATTACCGGGCTTCACAAGGGGAGAAATCTTTTTTCGTGGAGGATTGGAGTAAAAAAAGATATTTCCTGTTACTTTTACCCTGGTTTAAGCCTCCTTTGAGCATCTCCAGCGACCATTCATTTCACGGAGGCTTCAACTTAATCCCAGTTTTAAACCGCTGCTAGTAACATACAGAGAATCTAATGCTTTCGCGCACCCACCACAGTCACTCACATTGTAACAGACGCAACCGACTCTTCGCTTCCTTATTTAGGAGAGAAACCGTCAAAGTAGTTGGCAATTATCCCTGCATCTTTTATCCTAACAACCTTAATTAGAACAAAAGACCATCACCAATTAGTTCCGGTTTAGGGTCAAATTAAAACACTGCACGAACAATTGTTTCCAAGCTTCTTAATGAGGCTGCAGATCAGAATATGTTTGAGGAGGAAAAAAAAGATCTGATTGAAAGATACTGTACCGAGGAAAAGTTGCCGATTAAGACGAGATGGTAGCTCAAATATAGCCGGTTCCCTTGTCAAGTTCCAGGCGAGCGGGTTAAAAACACGCAGCCCACCTCGGTGCAACTCCTCCTCGCTCCCGCTTTAAAAAGATTCCCCTCCTTCTCCCCACGACGGCTGTTCCTTCGCTCGCAGTCTCGTTCCCTCTCTGGCAGCAAAGCAAAACAGACCTGAGCCGGCCCGCACGTCTCCTCGCCTATTTAAGCACCTTCACCAGGTCCCTAGTTAGCAGCACACTCCAGCTCATCCAAGAAGCTGACAAGCACCGTTAAGGAAGGCAGCGCATGTTGCTCTAATGGACCTCATTAAGTTCTACTTACAGATGTTCTCTTAACATAATTGATCTGCAGCGAGTTGAGAGGACGGCAACCTATTCCCTAGCCCCCAATTATGGCCCGGTAATTAGATCCCCAACCTCCAGTTCTCCACATTCACCCTTCTAACATTCCGAAATATCAAAGTATCTCTTTCTCTCAAAGCAAACCCTCCTGCCTCCCCCACCACCTAACCTTCGTGTCTCCACCTCCTTTGCTCCCTCCCCTCCCTAAGACTCCATTCCTCTGACAGTATTGACAGTCAGATCTGCTAACCTTTGTAGTGAAGCCAGACTTAGTAGTGCACTCACTCCAATTGACAGAGCTCAGTCTAGCTTTTTTCCCCTCTCGTTTTTTGCGCTCACTCTCTCTGGTTCTCCTTTTCTCTCCCTGCTGAAATACCCAGGGAAAGAGTGAAGGATGGAGCGTGAGACACATGTGTAGGGGGAGGCGGATGGATAAAAACAAGTTTGCACTTTTTGATAAAAGGTTGTAATGATAATATCTGTCAGGGGAGGATCTCATTTTTTGCACAATGCCTTTTTATCTTTAATAATTCCTCTGATGGTGAACGTAAGTGCAGGAGGGAGAGGCAGGTGGTGGTGTGAACGGTGAGCAGAGATGGCGCAGCGGTTATAATGCCAATCAGAACCACTCCCTCCACCCACTTAATTATCCGCCGTGCTAAAACACAGAGCACTTTAGGGAAATGTGAATGTCACGCTTACGCACTTAAAAGATGAGACGGTTTCGTCACACAGGGAGAAGAGGAAGCCGGGGTGGGTGCATTTGGTGCCAATCATTGGCGTAAATTTTTCTAGATCATGCACAGTTTGTGGTGTAAACGTGACATGAACGTGTAGGCAGCGGAGCTTTGCGAGAGCAAAACATGGCAATATGTGATTTTTCTTTTCAAGTCTTACAGGTGTTCGATTAAAGTTCAAAAGGGTCCAGTTGGTAAATTTCCTTCCTTAACTTGCACTGTTTCAAGAGCCTATATAATGTGTAAGCAATGTGTGTTTTATTTCATGAATTATTCTATGTGTTCATTGATAATAGATAGTATTCATTGTGATTTTAGCCTTGAAGTGCAGTCACATTAGTGGAATTTCTGCAAAATTTTGTGGACAAGGTAGGTCTATTGTCAGTAGTAGTTACTCAGAGGACACTTCCAAACTAGATAACTTTATATTGGTAAACACAGCAAATTTGCATGTTAATAGTTAATCAAACAGTAACACAATCAAACAAAAAAATTCCCTCACTGACGCAGATAGCCAAGTGGGCAGTGTGCCATCATATAGCGCAGTTTTGCTTCGGGTGTCCCAAGTTTGAGTCCCACTTCACGGACCATTTCTGATCCCATCTCCCTCTCTCTCCGATTCACTTCCTGTCAGATCTCTACTGTCCTATCAAGAACAATGCAAAAATACCAAAACAATATATAATTAAATAAATAAATACATAAATAAAACATTCCCTTGTGTGAATCTCCCAATCTCATGGATTCCAATTGAG